TAATATTTTTATCAGAAATTAAATTTAAAATTTATTTTCTGAATTCTATATTTCAATATTCTCAAATAAAAAACACAAATTTGTAAAAAAAAATTTTTTATTTCAGAAACAATTTTTTTCTTTTTTTAAATCAGCAGTGGGGACAAGTGAGGGAATGACATATTGGTATATTTTTATTACCTAAAATTAATAAAAAATAAAAATTGATAATTTTATTTTTATTCTTTTGTTAGCTTGCATTCTGAAGGACACTTTCCCTGAAAATTTTTTTTCGTAAGTTGTAAAACAAACATAAAATATACTGGGGACATGAAAATGACTGTTTTTGTGAGAATGACCCATATAAAGACGAACACCCTATAACCTGAGCCACGATGACTTTTAATTGGGTACTTCAAATTTATCACAGGGCTGGGTCTAATCACATGGCTCTGCAAGGCGTGTTAACTTTACAATTTTAATACTTCGGTTTATTATAACGTTAAACAGTTTTCGGATCAGATTTAATTATATACAACCTAAAAACAGCGTCATGCGTCTCTTTTGAATATAAGTGGTTTGCACAAGCGAGACGTCGCTTGCAGGTATCTGGTGTGCTATTCCTCAGAACACTTGAAATGAACAGAATTAAGTTTCGGTCGTGTGTTGGCAATAGATATTTCTTATTCAGATAACGTAAGTGACGTCATTCGTGCATATCATCACGGAATCTGTATATAAAAAATCTGTATATAAAAAATCTGTACACAAGAAGTATTGAATATAACTTTTTTTTTACAAAGCTCTAAAGATTTAGTTGCATGTTAAGGACAAACATGCTTTCAAGATAATTTTATTTAAATATTAAAGTTTTCACTTTTGAATCACAGTTAATTGTTAACTTTCTATTAATCTTTTTGAAGTACTGTTGCGTTACTATTAATATTCTCATTACATCATTAAAAACTCAAATTTAAAAAAAATCTAAATTTACATTTTAAAACAGACTATATTTTATATTTTAAAAAAAAACTATATTTTATATCTTAAAGCAAGCTATGCAACGGTTAAAAACTTTAAATTCTGATCATTGAATTAAAAGTTTATTAATGTGTTCCATTTTTTTTGTTTTGCACATTCATTTAAAATTAAATTAAAACTTTAATGATTTAAGAAATATATTTAAATTTTACTTTAAAAGCTTTTTTCTCTTTGATCCTAATTTAAAATTAAAACAGTATTTTGCTATTCTGCAAAAAAATTTAAAACTTAATATTAGCTTGAACCTCTTTATAATGAAACATATCATCGTTATATTAAAGTAAAAATATTGTAGAAATAATAAATAAAATAATAAATCCTATTTATTTCATTTTCATTCATAATGAAACATATGTTGATTGTCAAGGTATATCTTTCATTGTATAAAGAAGTGACAAAAAATAAATTGTAGGTTCTTTATCCTACGCTTATTTATCAAATGCCAAAAAATAGAGTTTGTTTGGTTAAATGAAAGACACGAATACTTTTATGGAATAAATTCTGATTACTCGTATCAACTATATCATCTCTTGACGAGAGCTGCGATGCAAAAAATGACATTCTTTATAGAAAACATTTGACTTGAAGGATAAACATATTTATTTTTTACTCTGATCTGAATTAAATATGCCACATCATTTTTGTGAGAGACGGTCTCTTCAGCTACTTACGGGAAAATATTATCACCATGTGTAAAGTGATGTCATTGTGTTAAGTGGTTGCGTGAGTAATTTTAGATGTTAATGGTGGCAGTTTAGATGGTCGTTTATTTCACTTAATTATTCTGATAAACTTCTCCAGTTAAAGCTTCAAATAGTGCTTAAATTACCGTCAGTACTCTTCTTGTTCAATTATAAACCTGTGGCAAGAAACTATGACTTTTTTGAATTGGTAAAAGAATTAAAGTTGATAATTGAAAAAGTTTGCGAATAGTTTTGCACATTTTATTGTAGAAAATAACATTC